TTAATAACCGGTCCTTGAGAAGTATTTCTGCAATCGGAAGTTACCTTAAATTAGCATGACGTCAATTTTACATTTCGTGAAGTATGATTATCCGGATTAAAGCAATTTCCCTCACCCGAAGCCTGAGTAGTGTTATATTTTCGTAATTCCTGCCTTGCGAAACCAATGGTTCATGATGTTTTTTTAACGTACTATGATGTCAATGCCCTCCCAAAGAATAAAGGATAAAAAGACATGGAATACAAAAGGAATATTTGCGACTATCAAACTAACATCAAACATTATCTGTACAAATTGAAAAAATGAACGACTAAAATGCGAGGTGTCCTAAATTTCTCACGTTTTGTTGTACAAAATAAAACGTGCTGAGAAAAAGGTGTTTGAACTTTATTAAAATAAACAATTACTATGTATTTGGCACATCTTCAATCTTCATTTACCAGTTTATTCTAAACTAAAAGACGCATTTCTTTTGTGATTATTAAAATCCTTACATTCCATTATCATAAACACGTTAATTAGTGTAGAGTCAACAGTGGTAGAGCCCGCTTTAACATCTTCGCACAAATGGGCCGGCTCGCCCGGTGTGAAGTGAAAGCAATTCCGCGTCTCGTTTGATGAGTGTGGTGCCGAAGGCCTAATTTTAGTTCCTTTCCCCTTTTTTATCTTTTTCTTCAGAGGAAAGGATGGGAAGGAAAAGTGGATTTGACGGTGGAGGAGACGCATAGGAAGGGAAAGTGTCCTTTTTATGTGCGTCTCCTCCTCCGTCGATTAAGGGTCGGCAACGCATCTACAATTGTGGATGTTTATGGGCAGCAGTCGCTTTTCATTTCTATGGATTCAGGTGGCCGCTTCCTCATTTGCCACCGTATGTTATAAAAAAAAACTATCAAAATTATTTAGCTGTAATTAATATTAACGTATAATTATTGCGTAATTGGCGATAAGTTCAATAACATCTATAATATTGACGTCATAGCTGTAATGTACGCGTGGAACGCAGCGACCCTGTCATACTCACTTAGCCATTGTGCTTCTATTACCAATGACATGAGGTATAGGCGATAACAATGTTATTTCATAATTTTCCCCTCGTCGATACTTGAAAGCCCGGCTACGTATCTTATTGTGAATTTCCACTGCGAATACATTTTCACGAAACATGTTACAGGTTTGTGTACATTAAAATAATTGTGACCAATAAGGTACTCTAAATGGTTGAACCAATTTTTGCGAACGAGGTTCGATTATCATATCGCCGAATCTTATAAGGGATCAGTCAATTATTTTTTTAATTAACATCTAATTCTATGAATAGAATATTAATCTCATTGATTACATACAAAAGAATCTATGAAGAAAAATATAAATCGAAAGTGTGCGGAGTCACAATCTATGAGTTTTTGTACTCTAACTAAATGTTGCCTATTCTAAAAGCTGCGAGCCACAGCTACTAGTCAATTCGTGAAACTGGATGATAAATAAGAGGATTAAACCAAAGCTGGATTACTTACAATGTCATGTTAGATCAAAAGCTGTTTTGCTGTCATCTATAATGCCTACGCTACGCGCCATGACAGGCTTATGATATTAATTATTAATATACTTTTCACTGCAGTAGTTTAATAAACACATAAAACTTACAACATATAAAAGAATTAAAATATTTCTTTATTATTTAAACCATTTTAAAGTTACAATAAAGCTTTAAGGCGTCAATCTTCGTTATCAATCCATTTTAATGTAACAATAAAGAAGCGTTTAGTGCCACGATACAGATTATCCTCGTCCACAGATAATGTATTCACTCGCGTCATTGACCTCACTTAAGATTCTAAAATATGCCTATTCATAGCTCGTTCACCAGCATAATGTACTGAGAAAAGCTCGGGAATAGCTGTGTCATCGTAAGAAATAAAATCACCTTTGACATCTCACCTTACTGAAAAAGATTTTTTAATGACATAGGTGTTTTATTCAATTACAAGACACTAGACGTTGCTCGCGACTTTGTCCAAGTGAAATTTGAAATAATAACAAAAGCCTATGTGACTTAGCATTTTAATGATGAAAGAATTATTGAAATCCGCCCTAAGTCATGAGTTATTTCATTCAATACATACAAAATTGCAAACATACAAATGTTTTCTCTTTATCATATTAAGTATAGATTAGTACAGTTTGTTAAAGTACATTAGAGGTCATTTAATGCGACTGCATATTAGAATATTCTAGCCACATTCCCAGGGAGGCCCTGGAGTGGATTACACAAGGAACACGAAAGCGTGGCCGCCCTAAACAAACCTGGCGGGCGTTCAGTGGCGGCCGACTTGAAGACAATCGTCCTTTCCGGCTTTCATGGTCCGAGATACTACGCAGAGCCCAGGACAAAGCGAGCTGGCGGCGTGCTGTGGACGCCCTCTGCCCCACTTTGGGGACATAAGAATAGAAGAGAGAGAGATATTCGAATATTCGGAAATGTAATGTTTATTGTATGAAACATGAGTCCTTTACTTTAACCATTAACAATTTTATAGACCAATCCGCAGTGGGCCATCGTGGTTGATTATGGCATAGTCACCCTAACTTAGGGTAGGCTCCGAACCTACCAGTGATGATGTATAGTGAGTGGGGGAACAAATTTTACAGGTTGAAATGGTAAACAATATCTGTTTAATTAAACAATGCATTTAATATAAAAAAATTCTCGCCTATCCATGTATGCTTAATGTAGTAATGAAATATAAATTGATGTACTGTATAATTTCAAACCATAAAAATGTTTATTACCCTTATTCATTTTCATAAAGAATTTGTGCTGAAACGGTTACTAGCGATTGAATCAATATTATTGCTTATTAAGTCACTTATTTTGTGTACATAATTTATTATTGATGCTATTGAACTATTAAATTCTTGTCACGTCCTTCAAATACACTCTGCGTAAGAAAATATCTTAAGAACATTGACCCTAATTTACAACGATGAAAAGACCTTTTTCCGTGAAACGCTACCAACCCCTTAGTAAAAGAGATCGTCTTCAATAATATTCCAAAGGCACCTCAATAACATTATAACCGCAAAATTCCACTATCGAATCACATACAAGAACATAATTATCTCAGCATTTTCAGAGGTATTTTTTTTATATATATTTAAGATGCTCTGCATGTCATTCACCCTAATAGTGATGGCCATTAAAATTTTGATTAAAAATTACCAGATCAAAGATTCTAACAATGGTCAAAACAAGCGCGGCAATAACCCTTTAACGGATGCTCAACTCGTCTACCGTCTTCTAATCAAACTTTTCCCATCAACAGTCCGAAATGTGGCGGTTGTTTCTGCTTCACAAATCGGCACAATTGCTATGTGTTTAACAGAACCTTTACGGAGTTAAATGAATTAACTTTAAAACGATTTATCGCCTTCCTTGTTTAGCTAATTGGCCAAAGTTTATCGTCGGAAATGTAGTTTGAAATTATATTTTAACAATTACTTTTGAGAATTAAGAATGGAAATAATTATAAAATGTATTCATTACATTATCTGCAAGGATATATATATAGCATAAGCTAATGTAACAAGAGACTCCCGTACAAATTGTTACAGAAACAAAGGAGCTATTCATACACATTTAGTCTGTATTTCTTTATGTTATATATGTTTTGATATACTCTAAAACCTCTGAGAATATGACTTGGGTAAAAATGTACCGCACCAAAAAATACATAAAAATTATGAACTTAAGGTAAAATTAAAGGACAGGCACATATATTTGTTTTCAAATATAATTATAGTAAAGTAAATAGTTATTGCGTAGAAATGTTTCATCATGTAAGCTTGCTATCTGATTATAAAATCCGATATAACAAATGAAGGATATTACGCAACACGCATTAAAATCATCGGGAAGTCTGCACGTCGTCGACGTCGACCGACATAACACCCGCACATCGTTAATATTCATTATGTAACTTAGTTAACGCATTGAGGTCTGCGATACTTACCGTAACTGGGTTAAATCCACGCAGCTTTGTGGACTGAAATTTTTTAACGTATATCTTTTCCATAAACAAGTATGTGTCACTGCAGTTCTGCTTTTTCTTATAAGTTATTTGGGTAAATAATGTATTATATCAAAGACTTTCTATTTCTACACATTCATAGAAAGTGAGAGAATACATAATTAAAAACTAAACTATACATCTATCTATCTATCATGTTTGAGGGTAAATTTAAAAAAAACTTTGGTAAACTTCAACATTTTATAAGTTGTATGTACAGTTGTAAGGATCTAAGAAATCAAGTATATTTTATAATTAATTGTATTTTCGCAATTTAAATTGTCAGTGTTGTGTGGTATCCCGCTGGTTAACCAAACCATCGGACGAGGGTCGATCAAACGCAGCCGCGAGCTATTTGCGAACCCACAACCGCAGACTTGTAGGCAGAGGACTTAAATACATTAACACGCAATGAAACCTAAAGGTCTCACTTTTATATAATACATGGTAACATTTAGAACCGTCACTACATATCTTGTGCATCTTTTGCAAATGTATGAGGTTATATTTGACATTATTTCTTGAGCGGTTCAATTTCTAGCAATAAGAATTAGAAGCAATTTGTGTAGTTATTGTACTGTATTGTATATCTATAAAACTCTAATTACTTACGATAATATCTACATCTTGATATTTTCATAGACTTTTCAAATTAATCGATTAGCATCCGATTCGTATCTAATCTTCATTATATCTTTTATTTAAATCTAATTAATTTCCCTTTCATTTTAAGCGTGACGTCTAAAAATAACCTTTTAATATACTTGAATACAATGAAAACAATTAAAAAGATGTAATTCTAAGGATTGTGATAAAGTTCAGGAATTTTGTAGAATCCTTTTGTAGGTCCTTTACATCAGGTACATAAATATAAAATGTGATGAGGCAGGATGTTGAATATTTAAAAATAACACAAGGTTTGTAATTAGTGGTTTATTTTGTTATAACATTTCCTCTCGGTTCAAAGAAATAACATTGGTGGTACATACTTCCTAAAATACCAGTGAAATGTGGCTCGTAGTTGTAAATGACGTAATTATTCTCTTCATTAGCGTTCGCGAACGAATGCAGATTCCGTCTGCATTCGCCTACAAAGAAATCCATGAAGTAACGATTCGCTTTAATTGCGTTCTTTGAATGTGCGTAGTTCTTTGACAATTTCCATTCGAAGGAGTTCTTCTCTGGATGGAACTGAACACCGTAGAATGGATACCTGTAAAATGTATTTATGATCATGTATTGCTTCAAATAAAGACCTTAATAAAGATCAATAGATTGAACTGAACTGAAGATTGACACTGTGTTATATTTATAACATAAATAAACTAGTTTTCGTCCGCGACTCCGTACGCGTGGGATTAACAAAAACAAAAGTGAGTAGTCTATGTGTTCTTCCAGACTAACCTCTACATCTATACCAAATTTATTCGTAATCGGTTCAGCCGTCTAGGCTACAACAAACATCCATCCACTCATCTAAACTTTCGCATTTATAATATACCATACATTTACATTAATATATAAGTAAGATGTGAAATAAACTAAGATGAAAGGATATGCATAAGATTTGTCGTATATCTTTATGTAAAAAGTAACAGTCTCGATTTTAAACATCACATATTTTTTATACAAGTTAAAACATATCAAAATGTAGTAGTTGGAAGTCGATAAGTTCGCTCGCAACTTCAAAAATAAACACGAATCTTTCCTTACAAAAGCAAGACGTTGAACCTAAACATTGAGGTGAGTGTGACCTGTAGCATCCGTTTCAAAGTTGTGGTTAGACCCCTCAGTGTTTAAACGCTTCAGCGCGCTCTTATTAAGCAAAATGGACTAGATATTAATGTAATTTCCTTTTCACACCGCTGATGTCAACGAACTGCAAATTCTATACAACTGAGACGTCGACTTGTAATATTTCTTAAATTACGTTTGGATGATTTTATGAAAGTGAACAATTACGTTTTTCTAGAATACTCTGTTAATTAGCTAATGTTCATTGTATTTTATTTTAATAAGAACACCTTACCATATTAATATTAAAAAAGCCAAAGTTTATTTAGATGGATGTTTGTTAGAGTTTGTAGTCTAAACTACTGAAGATCTTCATATAATTTGGCATATACCATATGTAGAGGTTATTTTGGTAGTAAACATAGATTACTTACTTTGATATTTTTAATCCAACACGGATGAAGTCTAGTCATTTTAAAATAATGGTCATACCATGTTACCCACTGACGTCGCGAATGACGTTGAATTTTAAAATTAACCTATAAAGACTTTGTTGTATGTTTTTGTTTGTTTCTCACCTTCTATGTTCAACTGTCGCAATAAATTGAACACCGTAATCGTCATCGCTGTACGAGGATACCCGCCAATCCTTCACCAGATCATAAGATTCCATGTTCTGAAACAATAAAAAAATCGACTTATGATAATGAGATAACCAGTGGTGATACTGTAAAATAGCAATGCACACCGAGGAAAGGAGCACTTTTAATGTATCCTGAAATGCATTTTGTATCTAAAGGAATATGATAAAAAAAAACACAGTGTAACACCAACCTTATCGACAATACAAAATTGATGAGCATTGACGGTTACATCTTCATTTGCCAGTATATCAACAACGTTCTCAGGGGCGTCTTTAAACATTTTACTACTACGAAAATCTAAAAATAAGATTCATAATATAGAGACTTAAGTTTTTACTAATACTATGAAATAGTTCATCTATGAGTGGTATTTCCATTTTTTATATTCCTAGTATTTTATCACCAAACAGGAAAGGACGCTATACTACGCCGCACAAATATTCTCTTAATTTATAGACGAACATTTTTCATATTACCATTAATTACCTTCGTAAAAAAACAAGTGAATAATCAAGATCAAGACTAAATTAAATATTACGTTTTCTTGTAGTAAAAACGTTCTAACTTCTATAATTTCTTACCTTCTGTAAAATGTAACGGCAAATTGCTATAAGAGTAACATCTAATCCTATTTTCTTTCTCGCCACGACCAGAAGCAATGATAATAAGTAGTTCAAATCCCAGACAAGTGCCAAATATGGGGAAATAATCGCCTGCATCATTTAATTCTATAGCTATTTCGTAAATATGCTGACCGGCGTCAGCGTAACCATCGGATTGATTGAAATAAGTCGCGCCTCCGGGAAAGAGAACTCTGCAAATTGAGTAATTGAGTAAACTTATTCTTACCTTTTAGACTTCCTTAAACATTCCCAGTTTACCTATTTATTACTTAGTTTTAGACAAATCATCAAGAAAAAAGGAAAAACCCGCATAAAAGTTTAACTTAAAATTTATACACGTAAAATAAGCCCAAGGATAATTTAATTAACGACAAATATATAAACACTCTCTTCCACTTACCCATTCAATTTACTCATAATATCTCTGTAATATTGTCGATCTTTTCCTATTCTGGAAAATAATTCTTATCTTTAGTAAATTTAAAATTAATTATTACAATTAGCTATTAAATATTGCATCGTAATATACTAACAAGATAGGAACTACTCGTGCACCTGACGCTTCTATATCCTTGACATATGAAGCCGCAATATAACTGGTGTAGTTTTCTTCAGGATATTTTCCATGCAAATAAAACGATTGCTCCTGCGACAGGACTCCTATGATAGGACGTTCGTTGATGGATGTTTCTTCATCCAGCCGCACGACGACAGCGCCATTGCAGTTCAAAATATATCCCGTTGTTAAAGTCAACAATATCAACAAAAACCCTTTAGCAGCAAATAATTCCACAAAACTCGGCACTACCTTCATCTTCACAAACTCTATGAAACTGCCGTTAAACCACCTACAACACTGTTTTATAGATAAATTGTACAATATCTCTAAGTATTTTTATCTACCGATTGATACTATATCGTTCATCTTTGAAATATTTTATTCTGATTTAACAAAATTTCATAATTAAAACACGTTATTAAATTACGTACCAAAGTATGAAAAGGTTTGCACTATCATTCGCTAAGCAAATTATAATAATCTTCACAATTTCATTCTTGTACGCAACTTTCATTAGTGAATGATCTGTATACACTCTCTTAAAATAGATAGCTTCTGCGCTGAACTGTTACAATCGAAATAGAATAAGATTATTTTAGCATTGAAGACATCGCCAGTTCTAAAAATACGTGTTCATTATGTAGTTATTTAGAGATTACAAATAAAATGTTCACTTTAATGTCACAACAAACGAAGCTTAACAAAGACATCATTCTCAATGATCGTGACAAGGAAAAGATTTGCCTCTGACATAATCAGCATTACAATCTCACCTCGTCTCGTCGCGTCGATAGATACTCAAATATTGCCTTATCTAAATAGATAGGGCTATTTAATAAAATAATAAAGTTATTAAGCATCGCCAGCCAATACAACAGAATAGCCTTTTACTTCTACCTCAGCCTCTCAAAGACGAGCTCTACTCCAACTCAAAAAGAGGAAAATTGTGTCGTAAATTTCATTCGCTTGTTGTGTAGGTATACAAAATAATATGAAAACTATAATAATACGAAATTTACAAAATAAAAGCGATGCCGCTCGATATATTAGGGCCGTTGGTCCAATCGGTCTAATACTAGATTAAAGGATTGTTGTATTATTTCGGCAGAATAATGATGATTTCGAGTTAGCTAACAAGAATTAAGAAGCTTAAAAGAAAGCATTTCGAGAATTACTTATTAATAATGACATAAAAAATGTTTATTATTATTTTAATTATGAATCGTATCGTGTGAAGTATTTGCACTATGGCATAATATACTTACAAAACTTTTCTTCTGTATTTTAATTATATAAAAATTAGTTGACAAACAACTCTAACCCTGAAGTTAACTTTTCGACTAGCAGTAAAACAAAGTCCTAGTGCGATTTATTTTTCTTTTACAACGCTACTGTTCAAAAAGGATTTTTGAAATATTCAGTGATACAAAAATTACGATTTAGATTATTTAATTATTTTTAGACCTAGAAAGGGCAGCGAATTTGATATTATTCATGTCGATACCAAACATTCAATATGCCATGCCGCGCATGCGTATAAATAAATCGTGTCGTACTTAAGATCTTTAACTCGATATGATATCGATAACATTACTAGAACATCAGGTGTACAAGAAAGAAAACATTATTAAAGAAGCTACAAAAAAGCTTATAAATTTTTTCTCGTAAGAAATAATCATTTTAATCTTACTTAATGTATTATTTTTGTACCATATCTTTATTCATACCCAATGCTTTCTTAGATCCTCTTATTACTATAATTTATATTTACTCGGGTTTACCTCCAAAGAGTTAATTTATATAATGCACTAAATTTTTTGTCGCTTAATTGAATTTTTAATGACTACAGAAAAAAAGATAAACCTATTTTACTTTGGTTCACGTTAGTTTTAAAAATTTTTTAGAACGAATTATCTAGATAAATTGCTAAAGTTTCGTCTTTTGTGTATTACTGAGTAAATGCTGAAAAGAAACCGATTAAATCGATAAAATTGTTTTCAGACACAAAGAGAACACATGGTAACACTGAAATTCTCGTCAAAAAGAAAAATGCCGCTGCAAAAAAGAAACGTAATGATAAAGGTATTTTGATAATAACTATTCTTTTGACAAGGGCACATATACATATAAGATTTGTGATTAAGATTTAAAATACGATATGTTAAGCGATTGTAAAATACATAGAATTTATAAAGAAATTATGTTCTAGGTTGGTTTCCTGCGTTGACAGTGGAATTCGTGTATTTTCTTTTATCAGTCCCATACATTCAAGAACAATGTTCGAAATGGTAAGACTTATATTTCTTAATACGATAAAAAGTTATAAATACTTATAATCATAATAGTAGTAATAATTATTTGATTTACTCCTCCCATAGAGTACGGCGGAGCCAATGGTTGTGGATGTACCACTGGAAGATAATGAGAACAATGAGGCGGAATGCTATGTGGTTGAAAATCCTAGTTTAGATCTCGAGACATACGCCGCATCATATACTGGCTTTGCAAAGCTGTACAGATTGGTTTTTATAGCAGACCATTGCCCACAATTGAGATTAGAGGCTCTAAAGATGGCAATTTCTTACGTTATGACCACATATAACGTAAATCTCTATCAAACACTCCATAAGAAACTTGCTGAAGCCATTGCTGCTGCTGGCTTACCAGATGTTGCTGTCCAAATGGGATCACAAGACATACCTGTCTTAGATACAATGTGGGTTGAAGCAAAAACCAAAAAAGCTGCAATTAAGCTTGAAAAATTAGACACTGACCTCAAGAATTATAAAACAAATTCAATTAAAGAGAGTATTCGGAGGGGCCATGATGATCTTGGAGATCACTATTTGGATTGCGGAGATCTCACTGGTGCATTGAAATGCTACTCTAGAGCTCGAGATTATTGCACAAGTGGCAAACATATAATTATGATGTGCCTCAATGTTGTTAAAGTATCAGTGTACTTGCAAAATTGGGCTCATGTTCTTAATTATGTCTCAAAGGCTGTTGCCACACCAGACTTCAATGAAATTCCAGGGAAAGATTCCAATCAGTCTATTTTGACTCGCTTAAAATGTGCTGCTGGTTTAGCTGAGCTAGCAACAAAGAAATATAAATCTGCTGCAAAGCAATTTCTTGCAGCGAGCATTGATCATTGTGACTACTCAGAACTACTCAGTAGCAATAATGTTGCAGTGTATGGAGGACTATGTGCTCTGGCAACATTTGACCGATCTGAATTACAGAAACAAGTGATAGTTAGCAGTTCTTTTAAATTATTCTTAGAACTCGAGCCGCAGTTACGTGACATCATTTTTAAATTCTACGAATCTAAATATGCTTCATGTTTAAGGCTACTTGATGAGATTAGGGACAACCTTCTCTTAGATATGTATCTAGCACCGCATTTAAATTCACTCTATATGCAAATACGCAACAGAGCATTGATCCAGTACTTCAGCCCTTACCTGTCTGCTGACATGCGCCTCATGGCTGCAGCTTTTAACCGTACAGTGACAGCTCTTGAAGATGAATTAATGCAATTGATCCTAGATGGCCAAATTCAAGCCCGTATTGATTCACACAATAAAATACTGTATGCTAAAGATGTAGATCAAAGGAGCACTACATTCGAAAGGAGTCTGGCTATGGGAAAGGAATATCAGCGGAGGACATCCATGCTTATTCTGCGCGCTGCAATGCTCAAGAACCAAATTCATGTCAAGGTGAGTATTCAACACATGAAGAACAGTTTTGCTATTTTTAAACAGTTACACTAAAAAATGTTATTTAAAACTACTTGGTGTAAACAAGATCTCTTTTATTGTCTAATGGAAATATTTTCCCTGTTATAGAATATTGGGCGTGAAGCTGGTCCTCAAAGTGGTGAGGCCCCTGGCTCCAGCACCAGCCTTACTCCACGTAGCTTCGACCCTGTGCCCTTGTGAATAATTACCTCATAAGCTAGCAAACATTTTCCTCTCACATGACAGTTTAAATGTTACCTATCCTAAATAACATGACATACAATTAAATCTTAGTCCCGGAATTACATAAATGTTGCTGCATTTACATTATCATGTGAAGTAAAATCTCAAAAAAAAAATTCAAATAAAATCCCTTTTTAAGTACTGATATAATATTTGCTTGTATTAGTTAACTGAAAGTACAGATAATAGATCTGCATTTCAGCAAATTTGCCAATGTAAAATGCTGGTATCGTTTTAAGGAAAATGTTGAATTAAAATGGCTGGTGCAAGCATTATTCACATTGTTTATATCGGAATTATTCATGTAACCAATAATTATTATGTCTACGTAATTTTTAATAACATTAAAAGTAAAGCCATACTTGTTTTGTTTTTTATGATCTGTCATTATATTATTAAGACTGAGTATAAGACTATTTTTATTCTATACCTTGGGGATTGTAAAACTTGAAGCAGTAAGCATCCTATAAGTTACAAAAATGTGAATTTAGCAATGAGATAGAATTCATCCACTATACAAATCATTGATACCTTTAGTCGATAAATAAGTTACATAAACTTGGTGAAAACCATCTTAGACTTATTTGTTGAAGCAGTTTTTAATTTACATAAACCTTTTTACTACCTAGTGCAGGTTATCTGTGTTTAGAAAAATCAGCTACAGCTAAGAATTGACACTATTTTACTGTAAAAATACTGCAAAGTATCATCACCAGCTCACTGTACTAAGGGGCTCAGAGCCTACTATAATAAGGGGTGACTAGGCCATAATCAACCATGCTGGCCCTGTACTGGTTGGTTGACTTCACACATATCTTTAAATTTCTTCGCTGATATGTGCAGGTTGCATCACAATGTTTTCCTTCACCGTAAGAACGTTGGTTAGATTGTGTAATGAAATTCGAAAAATTGAAAATTACACTGGTACATGGTGGGATTCGAACCCAGATCTGTAGATTACAAGTCAAGTATTCAAACCCCTGTGCCACCGACACTTCACACCACAATGAATGCAGGTTTTAAAACAAATTATTCCTAATCAGTGGAAATGGTGCATTTGTTACTTGTAGAAATAGAAATGCAAAGGATTATTTCATAATTCGATTTAATTATAAAATCTGCTTCTACTTCATAAGTACAAATGCACTCTTTAATTAAACACAATGTTTTTGAGTGTATGCTAAGATCGATGTATAGTGTGACAAGAAGGAATAAAGTTAAGAATGTGTATATTACAGAATGTTTGAAAACAGCACCAGTGATGGATAAATTGAGACAAAAAGGGTTGGTCTGGATTTGATATATGGTGATGAACAAATTAACACAACCAGGAAAATTCTAAAATTGAAAGAGAAATTATGGTTGGATTGTGTGAGAATGGATAATCTTAAAAAAGGAAGTGAATTCAGATATGATAGAGATATTTAAAAGAGCAGTACATTCTTTGTCTGGGATAAAGGCATGTATCATCATCAGAGGATGAATTGTACAACCTTATGCATATTATACTACATCAGGGTAAGAAGGAATATCAATGACGAATTTCTATATCACACAAGTGATCTAATTGTAATTTCATCTATTACAGTTGACAATGATTAAGGGTACAGCAGGAGTTTGGAAAAGGTTTATAATGCATATGTTCCACTCAAGGAATATAATTTTTTTAGTTTTTTGCCAGACTACCAAAACATAAGTATGCAACAGCGTCTTAAATGATAAGGCCATAATTAAACACCAAATTCCTTTCAAATTTTGCCGTCATTCAGATTATAAGTGGTGCATGGTGCAGATTATAAGTTACAAAATGAAGTATTTAAGATTAGTTCAACATTAAAAGAAAAGTGTAAAATCAGTTTTATTTTACATATTTATTGTACTTCTGCTTCTGTTAATAACATATTAGGAATGCCTTTTGTAATTGGAAATTGTCTACCGGATTCGGGACATGTGAGATAACCTTCTTCCACTTCAACCTCCAATAACACTTTGTGCGCTTTCCTTAAAAACTCTTCGTTATCTTCAAATTTAGGGTCTATAGTTTGTGGTAATCCTTCATTGTGTCCAATACTATCAGCTGCTTTCAACAATACTTCCCAATCTAATTTTGGTATTATACGGGATATAAATTCAGGTTTGTAATCAACCTCCGATACTTTTACAACAGTTGCGGTTATAGCCAAGGGGTACCCTGTTCTTACCCCTTTTAAACACTTAGATGTGAGCATATTATGAGTGATAAGCTTCATTTTATCAATCTATGTGTTGTTAAGAAATTCATCACAAGAAAATTTTGTTTTATTTTTTCGTAGCGCCTAAAAGACATTGACATGTGTCAGTATTAATATAATTTTTGAAGTTTCCGTTTCCAGGACATTGCTTTCTTGTTTGTGCAGAAAAGCAATGTAATAAAGCTTATCTTTAGTTTTAGGAGAGTTTGCGCACATGCGTAAAATAGTTAGTTGGTTTTGATTTAATTAAAACATATGGTATATTAAAGCGATATTATCAGAAAAATTGTTTTTGCTCTCAATTTTACTCTGTATTTGATAGGTACATTTCGTTTTGGTCACGTTTAAGTGTCAACTTGTCAACAATGTACGTGTCATAGTGTCAGTTTTTGTTGGTTTTTGTGAGTCTAAATTCATGTATGTCTGAGTTTTGAAAATGTCTTTCATTATAATTTGTTTAACATGTTTGCATATAATATAGACTAATAAAAAGTAAATATTGTTTATTTAACCATCCACATCAAAAGCACTCGTACGACATTCAACATTAAAGTAAATCGATGAACGGTTACTGTATTTTTGTGGTAAAACATTGAAGCTATTGAAAATGTCTGAACAAAAGAAATCGAATAAAAATACTGAGGAGCATAAAAGTACGAGGTCGTCTAACAATGAGGCGACAACGACAACACAAGATGTTGCATCGAACCATAGGAGTGCTACTGATGTAGAAGGCTATAATGTGGAAATCAATAAGAAGAATACACCAAAAGGTAAAAATTCAAGGAAAAAAGAGAAAATGAGAAACATGCATTTAGAAATGCCAACAACAACTGGTGCTCAACATCAAGGACAGGTAGCCCCCGGATTCAGCACCACACTACAGTACCAGTCCTTTGCTGCAGTATTTCCTCAAGATTTAATTGTAAATCCAGGTATTCCTTTCAATCCAAATAACAGCTCAAAATATTTGGAAAATCTTGCACATTTGCAACTTTACCAACACAGCATGCAAAATAACTGTGTGAATCTGTTGAGGCTGAATAGCCAAGTTGGCAGTTTACCAAATACTCCTTTGGCTCACCCAAGTGTTTCACCACATGCATGGAGCATCCCAGGCTCACCTTTGTGCAATGATCCTATCTCCCCTCGTTTCTTGCAAAATGTGATGCAACATCCACTTCTTAATCAGACTTATGCAAGGCAAAGTAACACACAATTTAGACAAGATAAAAGACAAGTTGCCTCCAGTGTAAATGGTATTAATAAAGAAACTCCCACAAAGAAGAAAAATGGGAAAAAGAAAGATCAAGAAGATAAAAACTTTGAACCTTATTTAAATCCAGAAGAGGTGGAAACTGGCTTGAAAGAAAATACACTGATAGAAGGTGTTTTAAGAATTAACCCTAAACAATTTCAACATGCATATGTTTCCAGCAGTGACAGAAGTGTGCAAGATATACTTATTGATGGAGTTAAAAATAGAAACAGATCTCTTGAAGGAGATGTGGTGATTGTGCAAATTATAATTCTGCCTGATGAAAGTAATGATGAGACAAAGCAAAAAAAGGGAAAAGTTGTTTACATCAAAGAAAAATTACATACCAGAACATGCATTGGCCATTTAAAACTGATGCCAGATAAAAATAGACAAAAAGCTTTGTTTGTGCCAAGAGATAACAGAGTCCCTAGACTAAATATACCTTTTACCTGTTGGCCAGACAATTTTTATGCAGAAGCGAAAAGTTATGAAACTACACTATTTTTGGCAAAAATAGAAAGTTGGTTTGATACAAGATTTGCTTTGGGGAAAATAATATGTAACATTGGCCAATCTGGGGATATGCTTTCAGAAGCAAAGGCAATTCTAGCTCAGACAGATTTAGATGTTACCCCATTTGGACCAGAAGTAAGAGATCTCTATCCACGATTGGATTATGTTATACCATTGGCAGAAATTGAAATACGAGAAGACTGTCGTAAACTGTGCATCTTTAGTATTGATCCATCAAATTGTCGTGATATTGATGACGCTATGTCGTGCAGGAAGCTTGAAAATGGAAATTACGAAATTGGAGTTCATATTTCTGATGTATCATATTTTTTGACAGAAAATACTATATTAGATGAGAAAGTAGCAGAGAAAGCCACAACAATTTATTTAGTTGAAAAGGCTTACCACATGCTACCAGATGATTTATGCATGCTGTGTTCTTTATTTCCGGGTGTTGATAAACTTGCCTTTTCTGTATTTTGGGAAATAACAGATAATGCAGAAGTCTTGAGTCATAGATTCTCCAAAACTGTAATTCATTCATGTTGTCAATTAAGCTATGATCATGCTCAGTCTGTTTTGGATAGTAGAGAAGATGCAGAAACAACTTTTCCCGAGTTTTATAATGGTTTTGAATATAAAGATGTATATGAGACAATTAAAACTCTTGGCAAAATTTCAGCAATATTTAGAAAATCCAGATTTGACAGTGGTGCACTTCGTATTGATCAACCGAAGGTGTCATTCCACCTGAACCCTTCAACAGGACTGCCAGACGCTCTTTGGGTATATGAAAACAAACAAAGCCATCAACTTATTGAAGAGTTTATGTTACTAGCAAACATGACTGTAGCAAAGAGAATTTATGATGACTATCCAAACTTAGCATTCTTGAGATGTCATCCACCACCTAGTAGCTATATGTTGCAACAGCTGGCTAAATCATTGAAACCAATGGGTATTGATTTGGATGTAACCTCTGCTGGTACATTACACAAATCATTATTACAATATATTGATCCTACTGTGGCTGATAAAGGCAAGGCTATGGTTCTCAATATGTTGTGTGCTAAACCTATGACAAGAGCTAAATATTTCTGCGCTGGAGGCTGCACAAGTGATGATGACTTCCAGCACTATGCTCTTAATGTACCACTTTATACCCACTTTACAAGCCCCATTCGACGATATGCCGATATTATGGTCCATAGGTAAGTTATAATTTTTTTATGTTTCCAGAACTAAATATATCTAAGCTTTAATCTATGATTATTACCAGTCATGTAAAGTGCTTGTGAACAACAAATTTGTTAAAAATCAATCTATACTAATATTTAATTTAGGAAAGATTTGTGTTTTTGGCATTTTTGTATGTATCAAAATAACTCAAAAACTACTGGATCAATGTCAAAAATTCTAGCACCATTAAAAAGCTATGTTATCACTGAGTAACATAGGTTTTGCGTTTATATATTTTTCTTTAATTTCACGCGAAAAACAGTAATAAATATATTCTTTTTGTAACTTAACTTAGGATGCTCTTATAGTTTGTTTTCTTTCCAAAAAATGTTTTTATGTAACATCAGTTTTTCCTGCAAAATCTGAAGCTGTATCTGTTTTTCAGACTTCTATCGGCAAGTTTAAATTTCCGAGAAACACCAAAATGGGAAATTGACAAAGTAAAAATGGTTGCTGCTCAATGTAACAAACAAAAGTACAATGCTAAAAGAGCAAGTGAACTTTCAACCGAGTTATATACTTTGAAGTATATAGAAATGAATTCACCTTATAAAACTGATGCAGTAGTTGTTGATGTTAGGGAAAAGTATATTGATGTCATTATAGTCGCTATGGGCTTAAACAGAAGAATTTTCTTCAACAATGTAAGTACTTTTAATACTACATTAACAACATTTTAATTAATGTAGGTACCCTAAAAAGGAAGTAACCTTTAAGTTAATTTAACTTTTAAAATTAATGTAATTTTAAAAACAATTAATAATCATCATTAATTACAGGATTTCCCCGGTGAACATAAATGTATCAAAAATGAGGCAGGTGCCAAACTCTCTAAAATGGAGCTGCTTTGGAAAGCAACAGATACTTTACCCGAAGTGCAACAAGTTATTGAAGTCTTCTCTATTGTAGAGGTAGAATTAAATAGAGACGAGGATATGGTAAAAGTTGACACTAAACTTGTAAGACCCATTTGAATTGTTTAGGACGAAATTATTGAATGAATTTTCCATATCCATTTCAATAATAGATGTGTGTGATTAATCTAAATTTTAAATTGTAGCTGAATATTAGAAAAGAGCTATTTAGATGTTAGTTATATTTTCTTAAATATAAATTGACTTGTGGATTTGTCCTTTTAGGACTATATTTTACATTTATGACTTGTTTAATTGTGAGAAATTTTTTATTATTATATGGTAGTGGTGTACGATACTATGATCTGTAGAAATGACTGGGCTAAGTCACACAATCATCGACCATTCTCACTTTCATAATAAAATATAATGACAGTTTACAAGTATTGCATTTTGAATGGTCTGTAGATATACTTAATGTTAACAAGGCATTCCATTTTATTACTCAGGATAATGCATGAGATAGTTTTTTCCATATCAAATATGGATAGAAGTTTTATGCCTGTCGTGTGGCCGCCTTGTTTGTGACTCAAATTTTAAATCTACTTTAAATATTTTGTAAATTACTCATATGTTTTTGAATGGATTTTTAGCGTAATTATGACGTACAAATGCAAATTGGTAGAAAGTATTAAATTTTTAAATGAAATGTAATTTAAATTATTTCAATATAATTATAGACATATAGAACATTTATGAACTTGTAATTATTGATTTTAATTCCTCGCACAAAAATGTTCTTATAAATAATAAGTGTCCTGTTTTACAATTTTTAAGAATTATGGACAAATGGACTTTTGCCTTTTAATTTTATTATGTGTAGTGTTTTAGCATAATATTTTTGCACTCTAGCATTGTATAGATTTATTGTTCATGTTGAGTGGTATAGCCACTAAGTACAAGCTATTGAATATTGACCTAGATTAAGAACGGATGCTCAACCAGCAAACCTTCTAGGAAATAATTACAAAATAATAATTGGAATTGTTGACGTTTTACAACATTAAAAAATATAGAGTTGGATGTAAGCATTTTTTTTTATCCCTCATAGGAAAGTACCAAACTACGGACTGAAAGTTAGGAATTCGAAGACCCGGAATTATAAAAATATCTTGGATTTTTTTAAATCTAAGTGCCAGTTATTATTACGTATGCTTTTAATGCTAGTCTTACAATTTTAATTAACA